AGTGTTTTCCACGCTGTGAATCTCAGTTTTTCTATACAGAGGCAGAGCTGCTTCCATCCGCCCGGAGCAGGGAATCAGAACCAAAAGTGGGATCTGAGTCCATTTCTGTTCGTTCCTGTGAGGACGTTGCTAACATTGCTGCCTTCCCATTCCCAGTGCTCCCATCCACGAGCACAGCGCAGCCCTACAACCATGCACAGCTCCCCCAAATTCACTACAGATTCAGAAGGAGGGTTTCAGGCCGAGTTACTGCGAAATGGCAAAGCAGGGAGATGCGGTAGCTGCAGTAATTGCAACAAGTGCAGTAATTGCACACCACCTCCCCAGTCCCAGAGGAGCTTGCAGTGCTTTTGGAAAGGTCTGGGTGCGTTTCGTTGCTGTGTGTCCTTCCAGCACATCACTGGGTGCACGGTGAGGCTGTGGGAAGAGGTGCAGGAAGGGAGATGGCCACGAATGTCACATGGCACCTTGTGATGGAGCTCGTCCCTTAATGTACTGATTTGCATTGGAGGCATAATGACACGCAGGGAGCTTTGCATGGGCCCAGCAGCTCTGCTGGGTGCTGTCCCGTGGGAACGCTGTGGGCCCTGCAGCTCCATCCCCTCCCGACGGTCCCAGCTCTGCTCCGTATCACAGTGCAGCAATCTGGACAGCACAGAGATAAAACCCGGATTCTTTCCGTCCATCCATTTGAAGAGGCCTCCGAGCCGATTCCTAGAGAGCCTCTTTGACATGGGGACTCAATTCAGGTGGTGCATTCGAGATAAAGAAAATACCTGTAGAACCCCTCTGGGAAGAAAGGATAATTACAGAGCGCGGTTTGAAATATGGCCGATGGCACTGACCTCCTTCCCGGCCCCTCCATAAATACCTCTGTGCTGAAGCATGAGGAAATGGCAGGAGCTGAACCGCGCACCTCCTCTGAAGCAGGCAGGAGCTGCTGCCTCTGGCTCACACCCACACGCAGACACTGCCTGATGTATGGATCCCGGGCTTGTAATTTACAGCAGAGGCACTCAGACAAAGGTTGGGTTGGTTCTGCTCTGCCTGGCAGACAGCCCCGCACGGCCCCTGTGCTTCTCTGCAGCGCAGCTCCTCCAGCAGCCAGTGCTCACAGCACTGCGTGCAGAGGGCAGAGCAGCGCGCCTGGCTGCAGGGAGCAGTGTGGGGCAGAGCTGCAGCGACGGGCACGGCTGCAGGGAGCAGAGCCTGGGCTCAGTGCTCCATGCCGTCGCCATGCATCAGTGCCTGCAGCTCGACCCGATGCATTGCCTCCCTCAGTGAGCAGCAGGACACAGCATGCAGCGGGAGCAGCTGGAAGGGTTGCATATGGTGCTGGTGATGCAGAGCAGAGGCCTCGCAGGGCTGAGCTGCTCCTTTGGGGGTGGAGATGGGAGACTGCCCCAGAGAAGGGGGTTTAGGGGGCTCAGCTGAGTTAGATGTGATCTGAGCTTCAGCACACTCCTGCTCTGAGAGAGGTGTCGCAATGAAACTGCCAGCATCCAATGGTCCAACGCTGCTGAGGAGGAGGATGTGCCTGAAATGGATCTGAGTAGGAGGAAACCAGACCTGTCTGACAGGCAGCAATCCGCATCTTCCCTCTGGACTCGCTTTTCCCCTTGCAGCACCCCAAGCTTCAGCTGGCACTGGAACCAGGCAACTAATACCATGAGCAATTTGATTGCCAGGAGCCCCACATCTCCCTGCTTACAAATTATTTTGCAAGCCGGTAGCACAATTCAGCATTTCATCTATTTTTTTTGGTCTCTGGTAGGCAAAAGCTCTTTGCCCATGTAACCCAAGCTGTCTGTGGGACAACTGCACAGGGACATGGTGCAGTGGGGACAGCAGCTGCCTCCCAGGAGTGAGCACTGCTGTCCCCTGTGCTGAGATGCTGCGCTGTGCCTTTCCTCACCCACTGTGCACCCTGTTGGTGACATTCACCTCCCAGGGGCTGCAGATGCCTTTGTCTCTCTTTTGTTGATGCCTGCACTGTGGAGGTGACCTCAGGGTCCAGCGTGGCACCAGGGAGCTGCTGGCAGCGGGTGCTGAGCCTCATGGAAGGACAGTGCTGTAATGATTACATCATTATTTTGCAGCATTAGAAGGAATCTGGAGCTTCGGAAGCACAGCACAAGGTAACAGGTTTTCTGGAGCCCAGTGTTTAGGAAGTGCTGTGCAGTCTGGATTGCTCTGAAGGCATGCAGTGAAACAGAGCGTGCGTTCAGGTCGTGCTCGTATGGCTGATTCCTGGTAAATCATTGAACTTGTTCTGTGCCCCGCTGCTGTAAGCAGGCAGCTCCTGGGGCACCGCTGTGCATTCAGGATGGGGTCGGGATTTGCTGTTCTGTGAGCTCTTCCCATCCTGCAGAGGCTCCTGAGCAGCCCAGCGATCGTGTCCTGCACTGAGCACTGTGGGGTGGGCGATCCCTGTGCTGCCATCACGGCGTCCTGGGCTGGGCTGGGCTCAGCTGTGCTCTGTCCAATCCATCCATCCATCCATCAGGGAAAGGGATGAGTGCCCAAACCGTGCCTGACCAGTCTGTGTGTGATGCGCAGTTCTGCCCCCATTCCAGCACATTTCTGCCCTGCTGTCCCAGGTCTCAGTCATCCGCTCGCTCACCAACACTGGGCACTGCTCACCCACTGGGGGAAGGTCCTTGGTGCCATGGGCAGGGGTCTCCGAGGACAAGCCCAGAACTTACATCCCAGTGCGGCCACCCCTGCGCCACATCCCCACGCTCATCCATTCCACCCGGCCAAGGGCCAGCAGGGCTCAGCTCCAAGCACGTTCCACCCGCATCCTGGCGGCGTGGCACCCAGCTGTGCCATCGTGTCCCCCCTCTGTGCCCCTCACCGCGGTGCAGGTGACACGCTGGCTGCCACCCTGGTCTTACGCTTCCTTTTGTCTGCAGGCTGGCTCAGGTGCTCCGATCACCTGCTGCTTGCAGGAGCGGGGAAGCAGCAACTGAAGATCGAGGGGGACTTTTGGTTTACTCAGATGACAAGAGACAATTTTGCTTCCCCCAAAGCCAAGGAAACAAAGCTGTCAGGCTTTAATGGTAGCTTGTCTCCCTCCTGCAGCATGTTTATGGGCAAACAAGCTGCAGAGCAGACCAGGCAAACTGCAGGTGAGGCCAAATCACAATCATTAATAATTAATGGCGACCGTGGCTATGTTTATTCTTGTATCGAGGCAACGTGGTGTGATGGATGCAGCGCTGTTGCAGTGGTGTGCCGTGCTGTCTGAGGTGCCCCTATCCCTGCACGTGCCAGGGCTGTGCCGGTGCCCGTGGGGCTTGGACACAGGGCTGCTGTGGGGCAGCTCCCAGTGGGGTTGTTTCAGGCTGTAGGGTCATTCCTTGAAATGCCACCGTGTCCTTTCAAAGCGCGTCCCCACGCCACCCCCCCTATGCGTGCCAACACACATCCTGCACTCTGCTCCATCCCACAGCAGTGCTCTGCAGCGCCTGGTGCTGCTGCCAGCTGGGTTGGTCTCCTCCCCACGCGCCCCATTCCAGGGACACGCGTGGTGCTGCATGGCCCCATCTCCTGCATGATGCCCACATGTGCACGCAGCTCCCTGGCCACGCATGCGGGCTCGGGCACACGTCACAGCATGAAGCTGGGCATGCAGGAATGTGTCCGTGTGTGAATGATGCAGAGTGCTTGGTGGCTGGGCAGAGTGCTGTGAGCAGCAGCTGCTCCCTGGGTGATGGGTCTGGCTGTGGGGCGGCTCGGTGCAGCATCCACCAGGTACCTGGCCCTGACACACACCTCTGCAGTAATGCATGGCTGTTTGTGAAACCTGCAAGGGTAATTTAGAGACAAACACGACCTGTTCTAGGGCCCTGAAAGAGAACTTTGAAGTTGCTGCTTCTTGGAAATAGCTCTGGTTTCCTCCATCCCGTGATGACATTGCTGTGATTCCCTTCCCACCCCTCAGCCAGTGGCTGCAGTGGCAGTGCCAGTGGGAGCGGTGCATCGTGCCCTTCAGTCTCTGGCCGTGCCGAGGTCCCATGCTGAGAGGGAACTTCTCTCATTCCAATTCATCTTACAGCCTTAAACACGAGCCATTTTTATGTAACACTGCTCCTTTTTTGCTGCCACGCCAACAAGTTGTTAAGCTGCACTTACAATATGCAGATTGTGAGCGTCCACTAATAGGTCCGACCCACGTAGCCATCCCCCATCAATTTTCAGGGTTTCTGTTCCATTTGGGGCACGTTTATTTCCTTTACAAACCCTGCATTACCTGCCACGCGCGTGGCACCATGGGGCAACCATTACTGGGGAACCACAGGGAACATCAGGGCCAAGCCGATGCGAAGCGATGCCGTTGGCAGCCCCCTTCAGCTTCATTGAAGATCTGTTGATGTATTTATTTTTTTTCCAGAGTTAAATTGGCTATTAGTTTCAGAACATAAAAGCCAAAGAGTTTTGGCACTAGTTTCAGCCAGAACTTTTGACCCATAAAGCTTTGCTGTGTCTCGGAGCGTTTCTTACTGGGGTGATGCATGGGAGAAACCGTGCCACGCTGCCCCGGTGCGCTGCCCCAGTGCTGTCTGACTCCTGTGCTCTGATGCTGCCCATGAGCAGCAGCTCCTACTGTGTTACTGAGGTTTGAGCTCCTCAAGCTCCCTTTGCAGGGCTGACCCCGAAGCTGACGCCTTTCCCTGGTTCCCATGTTCCCGGCACCTCTCAGCTCTGTGCAGGGCAGTGGGGCTGTGGGTCTTGAGAGACCTTCCTGAAGACCAACCTAAAACCCCAGTTTTAATTGCACCAGGGCGGGAGGTGTGGGAAAGCAGTGAGAGCAGAACCTGGGCTTCTTCCATTGTGCTTCTTTCTTCTTTTTTTGTTTGGCTCCATCAACCTCACCCCTCTTTTCCTTCATTGAGGAGCACACGAAGCCATGCCATGGCTTCAGCTGCGGACGCGCTTCCCGAGCTCTGCCCTCTGAAGCCTGCTCTCCTCTCCTCTCTCCCTTTCCTGCCCTGCAGTGCCCATCCCCTCGAAGGCCAACGGCACCATTCCCTCCCTGATGAACAAGGACGGGCTGATCGGAGGGGTGACGAACCCCAACGAGGTTTTCTGCTCGGTGCCCGGCCGCCTCTCGCTGCTCAGCTCCACTTCCAAGTACAAGGTGACGGTGGGGGAGGTGCAGAGGAGGCTCTCGCCCCCCGAGTGCCTCAACGCCTCCCTCCTCGGCGGGGTCCTGCGCAGGTAAGGGTGGGGGTGAGGAATTGCTGCTGCGTGGTTCGCTGGGGAACGGCCTTTTCGTTGCTTTCTCTTCTTTCTCCTCCAAACCGAAAAGCTTACGCTGGAATCCAGAGAGCTGTGGATGCCCCATCCTTGGAGGTGCCCAAGGCCACGTTGAACGGGGCAGTGGCAATCTGGTCCAGTGCTTGATTTTGTACTTGGCAACCAGCCCTTGGCCAGGGGGTTGGATCTGGATGTCCTTGAGGTCCATTCCAACCCAACTCTATGATTGTGATGATTCTATGAATTATGGTTCTTCTAATATGAATGGCAGCATCATTTTATTTTATTTTTTTCCTCCTTTCTTTCTCTTTCCAGAGCAAAATCAAAAAACGGGGGTCGGTGTTTAAGGGAAAGGTTAGAGAAAATCGGCCTCAATCTACCCGCAGGACGGCGCAAAGCTGCCAACGTCACCCTGCTGACATCACTGGTGGAAGGTAAGAGCCCAGAGAGATGGGAGTGCCGAAACTCCAACACCCCTCATTTGCAGCTTTCCACAAATGACAGCACTTAAAGCAAAGTATGACGTGGTCAACACTGAGACTGGAGGTGCCCTTTGTCGGTGTCTGCACTGACTGAAACACGTCTGTCCTCTGAAACGGGAGCATTTCTGTCAGAGCAGTCATAGCTCATTTGTGAAAGGGCATCTGGGGCCTGAACGGGGTGAAACGTTGCAGCTGTGAGCTCCCCCCGGCCACCCCTCAATTCACTGTTCGCTCTGCGAAGCAGTTTTAGGAAAAGCTGGTCAAGACCACCGAAACCAGATAGAAAAAGGTGTGAGTAAAGCTGATGATGAGGTGTCAGGCCAACGCTGTTCTGCAGCACTGCGTGCCCACGATGGCCACCAGCTCGCTGTCCTTGGGAGCACCGAGAGCTTGGCTGGGGCTCCATAGAAACGCAGAATCATCGAGGTTGGAAAAGCCTTCTCAGATCCCTGTGTGCCCATTGACCACATCCCCAGGTGCCACGTGGAGCAGTTCTGCTGCTCAGAGCTGTGAGGTTGCCCCCCTCCCACCTTTGGCGCTATGGAAATGACGAGGTGGTGCCGCATCTTTGGAGAAAAGGACGCGGGACGCAGACAGACGCAGTGACAGCTCCGACTCCCTTCGAGCTCCGGAATCCATTGTGTCCGTGCCCAGTGTGCTGGAGGCAGCTGCCTGCAGATTCTGAATAGAAAATCATCTCCATTGTCGCCAGCAAATTAAATGACCCGCTTCATTAGGCGGAGGTTGTTACCGAGGGCAGTTGGTTTGTGCTGAATGAAAGGTTGATTTCCATTAAAAGAAAAGAAGGAGAAGAATGAAAGAAAGAAAGGAAGGAAGGAACGAACAGTAAGGTCTGATTTCAGGTGGCTGCTGATGTTGTGGTTACCATTTACCAGCTCGTAGTAAATAAATAGTGGTGTCATAGGTGCTCGCTGGATACGATCTCCTGCAAGTCAGTACTGGAGGTGTTTCACCCAGAGGAAGGCCTTACAGCACCGTCATTGCACACAGAGATGGACTGGTTCCCCTGCACCCTGGGTACCTCCTTCTCAGATGTTTGCTGCCACGCTTTATTCTTCTCCCCTCTGCCTTCCCCATTTTTGCTGTCACAGTGATTGTTTTTCAGCAGCTGTTGCGCTTTAATTGTTTTCTAACATGTGAACGACCGCAGTTCCAATTAAGTTTTCCTCATCTGCTGCTTCTTTGGAGGAGGAGGTGGAAGTGGAAGCAGCAGCTCTGTGCAGGAAGCACGCATGCACATTCCCTGTGCCACAGCTCTGCAGAGCAGCCCTGGAGCCGGGTGGGCTGTGCTGGGATCTGGGTTAATGCTATCAGGATGGATGGCCTCGTGTGTGTGAGCCGCAGGGGGCACATCCAATTAGCTCTGCCTGCCCGAGCGGGATTTCGGGTGCTGGATGTGATCGATTGCCATCAGCTCTGATTATTTCCAGGGGGACGCCTGGAGATGGATCAATTCCATCAATGGGTGGGCTCTTCCAGGGGTGATGGATATGTGCACGTACAGCCAGCCCGAGGGCCCGGCTTGCTAAGGTCTCTTTTCACTCTCCTTTTAAGTCACCAGAGGAAGGGACCAGCTTCTGTTTAGAGGTGGTGGTAGTTCATTTAGACCCACATGCACTAGTTGTCTTACAGATGGGTATAAGAAACTCTTAGTGGTGCCCACCAGCTTGAGAGCCATAGGGGGAGAGCGCTCCTGGGTAGCAGTTGTGAAAGGAGAGCACCCTGATTCCAGCAGAAATAAACCCCGACAGTGCCAGATCTGAGGCTGTTGGAGAAAATGTCCCCTTGCAGCCGGGTGCTGATGCATTGTGTGAATCTGTCCCACCTGCAGGTGAAGCTGTCCACCTGGCCCGGGATTTTGGCTACGTGTGTGAAACAGAATTCCCAGCCAAAGCGGCGGCAGAGTACCTGTGCCGACAGCACTCCGACCCCACGGAGCTCCACACCAGGAAGAACATGCTGCTGGCCACCAAGTGAGTGCTGTGCTGGGTCAGACTCCAGCTATGGTGCAGGGGCGGCCACAAAAGCTTTGTCTTCTGCAGGGAGGATGTGGTTGCATTGCTGCATGCAGCCAGACCTGGTCAGGGCTCTGAGCAGCCTGACCGAGCTGTAGATGCCCCTGTTCGTTTGAATCATAGAATCATTCTGGTTGGGAAAGCCCTTCCAGAGGGCTCACCAAATCCAATCCCAGCCCACTCCCTCCATGGCTACTGACCATGTCCTCCATTGCCACATCTCCATTGTTCTGAACACCTTCAGGGATGCTGATCCCCCACTCCCTGGGCAGTCTGTGTCAGTGCATCCTTTTTCCCATAGCGCAACTTGCGGCCATCACCTCTTGTCCTATTGCTGTTACCTGGGAGCAGAGGCTGACCCCTCCCTCGCCACTACCTCCTTCAGCTCATTGTAGGGAGTGATGAGATGGCCCCGAGCCTCCTCTTCTCCAGTCCAAACCACTCCAGCTCCCCCAGCCTCCCCCTAATAAGTCTTGTGCTCCGTTGCCCTTCTCTCCACACACTCCAGCACCTCAATGCCTTTCTTGTCACGAGGGCTGCTGCACCAGATGACCTTTAAAGATCTCTTCCAACTCAAACTTTCTCTTCCAGGCAAATTTGCAAAGAGTTTGCAGACTTGATAGCACAGGACCGCTCACCTCTGGGGAACAGCCGCCCCTCGCTGATCCTGGAGCCGGGCGTGCAGAGCTGTCTGACTCATTTCAGCCTCATCACCCACGGCTTCGGCGGCCCGGCCATCTGTGCAGCACTGACAGCCTTCCAGAACTACCTGGTGGAGTCCCTCAAGGGGCTGGATAAAATGTTCATCAGCAGCACAGGGAACGGGCACACGGCCGGAGACTCCAAAGCGTCAGAGAAGGACGGGAAGCATCGGAAGTGAGGTGCAGGCTCCATCCCCTGCCTGGGGAGCTCCCACGGCCCGAGGAAGGTCAGCAGTGCCAGGAGGACGCGGCGCTTTCTGAACCGCTCCATTCAAACCGGGGGGGGGGAGCGAAACTCAAAATGCAAACTACAAAAAGAGAAACGGATCGAAGTTCAGCAGGAAGAAAACAACTCTGACAGACGCGGCAAGGAGGAGAAAATAAGCCAGTTTGATGGCTTTTTCGTTTTGCCTTTTTTTTTTTTTTTAAATCACGGATGCAGGAAGCCAAGTCATGTGCAATTTTTTTTTTCTTTCTTTCTTTCTTTTTTTTTTAAAGCCCGTAATAAAATCCTGACAAGCTCCAGGAATTTGTTCTGAGCAAAGAACTGAGAAGAGCGAACAAAAGCCGCCCCAATACCAGGAGTGGGGGCACGAGCGGCACAGAGCTGTGCTTGGATCTGCCAGCTGGCTGTGACGGGCAAGCAAGTTGACCCAAGCAACCTTCCTATTTCTTCCTGTTTCCCCACCTACAGCCCAGCCCTAAAGCCAGGCCAGGAGAAAACCTCCAGCTTTGGGTTTGAAGCGGTTTCAGGCTTCATTTTGCAGAGCACCTGCGATGCTCCCAGGAGGGACAAAGCAGGAACACCGAGCCCAGGACTTGCTGCAACTCCACAACCTACACAGAACAGCACACACACGTTTTTAAAGTGATTATTAATAATAATGAATTAAGCACAAGGAGCAGAACTTGAACCAGGCCAAACTGAACTGTTCTAAATCTGTATATATTTATTTATGTGTAATTAAATCTGAAAGTTTTAAAATGTCCAGTGCGAGTTATTTATATCAAATTGAGTTGGTTATTCGGTTTATTTACTTTCTTTTTTTTTTTTTTTCCTTTTTGAAAGATGGACGTTTCTGGTCTTTCTGCCATTAGAAATGGGAATGAAGTTTTGGATACACAGAACTGTAGCATGGACGAGATAGGCTATGATAACAATAGAAGTTCTGCAGGATTTTGTACTTGCTGTTGTTTCTCTTAATGCTGCACTAGATGTACAACACCCACACCGTAATGTCGTTCTCATTACCTTAATAAACCTCTTTTTATTTGAAGAAAGCACCTCCACCGTCTTTGTGAACGAAGGTCCTCCTGCCTCTGTGGCTGAACCTTGAAACTGTTGTGTAGATGTGAGAAAGGACACCCTCCAGTTCCATGGCTCACATCCATCTGACCAGCACAGCCAAGAGAAAGCTCAGGGAATGGCATTCCAGGGGAGCAGACATGGCAACGGCATTTGGCAAAACCAGAGGGGATGCTGAGAACGTTTGCAGCCTTCCCAACACATCTGTTGCTATCACAGCTAGAGAACTGGCAGCTGGGCACGGGTCTCAGCATAGGTTACCTTGGAATGTTCTCAAAATTCTGTTTCCTTTGGAGGTTGCAGAAGAGGACAGTGATAGCAGAAATAATCCAATAGGTCCCAGAAGGAGCCACAGGCTTCCAGAGGGCCCCCTGTTTCAGCAAGAACACTTTATGTGCTGCTGTACTTTGTGGGGATGGCTCTGAGTCAGAAGCCTGTCCCTAAATACTCCCTTCTAAAACTTACGTGGGGATGCACATAAATTGGGAATCAGATTGGAAATGTCCCATGGTACGAAGCTTACAAAAACAAAAACCTAAATGACAGGCTCCGCAGGTCTGGTTTTGCTCTGGACCTTCCCAAAGGAACAAGGAGAAGCCAGGGAACAGAATGGAAATCCTAGAACCACATTAGACACCTGTCTGCACTTCAAAGCTATTTTGGATAATGCAGGGCGTGAGCTGAAAGCACAGAAGTCATTCCTATATAAAATTACTCCAAAATAGGAGTGGCCTGCTCTGCATCATAATCCATTTTAAACATGGATTACGATAAAGGAGAACGAGGTGCTTTTGTGCCAGAGTGCAGGTTTCCCCCCCATGGAGCTGCTTAGCATAACTATCCTGAAATCATTCAGCATGCAGACATCCCATGGCACTTGGTATCAGAGCAAACTGCCGTCCGATACATGATGAAAGTGCGTGCACACCAATATTAAAGAGTGAAATACTTCATAACGTAGTCGTGTTATGAAAACCTGACTTGGCTGGGGCATCCTTTGAATATCAAGTAACTCTTAAGCACAGCAGTGATGAGCAATGCAGACGGAGAATCAGGATGTGCCTACAGTAATTACACACCATGTCCATCAGGCGGAAAAAAATCTCTCCTCGTTTTCCTCTTTGGGCTCTGCAAGTCTTTTGAATGTTTTATGAGGCGTTTAGCAGTCTGGTGCCTGAAAGGCCAGGATGCCACCAATTACCCTTTAATGGGAAGGAAGTTTGATGATTTGGATTCACTTGTTGATCTTGTCGTGGATGTTCAGGACTGACGGTGGACACATCGTGTTGGGTCAACGTCTGAAGGCGCTGAGGCTTCCCAAAGGGGCTGAGATTTTGGGCTTTCTGCGTGCACACATGCATCCAGGCAGAGCGCAGCTTTCAGAGGTTGTGCCAGGCCAGCCTTGCTTGCACATTAATGCTGGAGTTCCCCTCCTGAGGACACTCAAACAAGGCCGTGCCCCGGTGTGTTCTTTGCCTTTACGTCCTAAGAGAAAAGGGATTTTCACACAATTTGGGGCTCCACCCTGCTATAAATTCCCACAGCGATTACAAATCGTGGGAAAATACGTGGGATTGTGTTGAGGAGTAAAAATAGATTCGGGCTCATGGTTTCTACCCTCGTTACAGAGCGCTGTGGAATTCCAATCCTAAAGGGGAAGTTAAAAAAAAATATATAATTCTTTTTCCAATTAATTTGGAATGGATGACAAGTCCAGGGAAACCACATGGCAATCCTTGACAAGTGGAAAAGAGAACATTAACAAGATCTCTTCATTCCTCTGCAGTCAGCTATCCCAAGGGTGAACTCTGACTACGCTGCACCATTAAGACAAACAAGCAGGGGCTGTGCTTTGGCATTCTGCATGGCTTTGGATAAACTAAATAATTACCTTTAAGTAGGCGACCTTAAAAGCAACATAGTAATAATACCTCTCCATACTGAAACAGCACAATAAACAGACTTTGCTGACCTGTAGTTAATGCATTCTTTCATATATGAGAGAGTTCATTAAGTTCCAAGCTTTACATAGACAGTCCGAGGAGCCACACAACGAGCAGAGGAAGTTTTTCCTGTAAGTGCAACTGAATCGAGACGTCCAAAACAAAACCATTTTCCCATCAGGCGTTAAAAGAAGTGGTATTTGCAAGGGAGACAAAGTGCTTGCTTGAGAGATTGATTTAGCAGCCCAGACAAATGTGTGCAGCGTCCCACTATTGCCTTAATTATGCTAGCAGACTCCAGGAGAAACAGCCCAAACCCAGTCATTACACAGAACGTGAACATGTTGACCCAGAAGGTATCATTTTGGTCTTCCTGCCCAACCTTCTTCGTAGTGCAAAGAATTCCCACTGCGGCCATCTGAATTTCCAATAGGACACCACAAATAGCCATCATAATTCCAGGCACTGAACGCACACCCAAGCTTTGACCCCATAACTGCAGTGCTGCAGCATCCCAATAACCTCCCAAAGGCAGAGGGGTGAAGGATGCTCCAAATGGCTCCTTTGGGTGCTTTATCCTGACACCTTCAGCTGCTTCCTATTCTATCCTTCCCAGCAAACCAGAAGTTGAAACATATCCCAAAACTCAGAAGTATTTCCCTTAAGGACAGCTTTGCCATGGTCTCACAGCCTATAGCCAAAGATGTTAAATGAATGCAACTCAGCTTTTTTGTGGTGCGAAACGAACTCAGGGAAAGAGCAAGATGTCATTCCAAGAAGCTCAGCAGCACACAGAGATGCCTCTGGAAGCTACAGCCTTCTCACCTGATGATTGCTCTGCCTGCACACAGCTGTCCTGGGCTCCTTCCTGAGTTTTCCACTGTACAAAGCCTGAAATTGGCTGAAGAACATCCAAAAGGCAGAATTTCCTTGGTGTGACTTCTTGAATGACCTGCACTCAACATGAACCACAATCAGCCCACTGTTTTCAATCCAAACCAAATTTTCACGCATTCCATGTGGTTTTATTATCCCTTGCAATTGATACATTTCTGCTAACTCTCCAATGGCATCTAGGATTTACCTACTCTCAAGGGCACGCTGAGAAGTAAATCTTGTTCTTACTTACGCTCTTACAGATCTGAGCAAAGGGAACCCACAGTTTGTTTCAGACTATTGGTGGCTGGAATACCACACACTTTTATTCTGCTGTTCAGAGTCTCCTCACACCTTGGAGACATTCCAAAATCTATGTGGCTCTGTAAGGAGAGAACTTCTATTTCCTGTGCAGACCACACCATCCATGGGCATCTCTTTTCCACCAGGTTTACATCCCAGTAATAGGTGGGAAACCCACTCACCTGGCAGAGCACCTTCCAGAGCAATAGGAAGAATGCTGAATAGCTGAGAGAATCTTTAAATTAGGTCTAATCTGGTGAAGACCAAAGGCATAAATGAATATTCCCATTTTAAGTATACACAAACTTGTCATAGTGCCTTTGGATCTGGTGAGCTAAGGAGTAATGCAGCTGAACGCAGGGAAGAAAACAGCTCTGTTCAGATCAGGGCAAAGATTGGCTTTTCTATTAATGCCATGTGTTAATAAGCTTTTTCACAGCTTCTGAACACAAAGCACCTTTTGGTTTAGTTCTCTGCAAATTTTGGAGCCAACACAGAAACCAAAACCGTATGGCTTTACAGCTTCTAAATACATCAGCAGAGGTTAACCTCAAATCTTTAACCAGCTTATGCAAACATCAGAGATGAAGGCGAGCTGACCTCTGGCAGTGTTCACACAGGCAGCCTTCCTGGTGTTTCATCAGAGCACGGGCAATAAACACTCAAGTAAATATGAAAACACAACCTTAGGAATATCAGATGTACCAGACCAAAGCCTCAGGTGTGCTGGTTTGGAGAGATTTCTTGTGTG